AAAACCCCAACAACGCTTACTGTATAATCATCCGACATAATACAAACGCCAAAAATCTCTGAATAATTTGTCAAGATCTTTATCGCGATCTTATTACCCATGAATTTTCATGACTCTATTCAATGAAGATGAAGACAAAAGAGGTAAAATATTTCTTTACTGGCGGATAGAATATCATAGAAATATTTTTGTATTTAAAAAAAAAGAGAAATACTTGGATGGAAAAGAAGAAAAGAGCTTTGAATGTTTTCGAGTCTGTTTGTTTAGTGTGAGTATTATGCATGAGCATATTTTCCTGTCATATCTCAATGTTTTAAAGTGGTAAAAAAAGAATCTAGTTGTTGGATGTTGAGGGATTGGATGGTCGAATGGTTAGAGTTGTATCATAAGGTCTGTCATCGAGTCAATTGGTGTGGTTTCAATTCCCCGGTTGTATATGACAAGGAGGAGGGTCGCCTGTCCCACTGCTAAAGACCCCTAGTTTGTGTTGAGTTGATGTTAAACCAGATGTTAGAAAGGGAAAAAGAGGTCCACTCATCAACTTGATAACGGGCATACTTCAATACAGTGTACTATTAGGGAAATTTTGCCCGGACAGTGCCACTGCGGTCTACTCTTATAATACAACGAATTCCAACTGCCAAGGGATCTTTTACATGTACACCAATGTGTACACAGGACCTCGTTTTTTTTACCCATCCGAACGACTATACAGCTGTAGTGGTCAAGCCCTCCGTCCTGCACCACAGACAAGGGGAAACCACATCTGAAAATTCTGATGAACTTTCTCGGCCAACACTGGGATCGAGCACTTGGAATTTGGTGAAGAACACAATCCATGACCATATGCCTGTCTTCATGAAACAAGTAGGGAGGTAAATCCCATTTCATTTCATTTCAAATCATAAAGGGGATCACGTGGCTAAGTGGGAAAGACGCTGGCTCGATCCCTGCATTGGCCGAGAAAGTCCATCCAGATTTTCCAGCGAGGTTTCCCCTTGTCAGTGATGCAGGACGGAGGGCCTGACAAGGACAGCTGTCTAGTCGTCCGGATGGGACGAAAAACCAAGGTCCCGTGTACACATTGGCGTGCATGTAAAGGATCCCTTGGCAGTTGGAATTTATTGTAAGAGTAGGCTGTAGTGCCGCTGTCCGGGCAAAATTTCCCTCATAGCACACTGTATGGCATATGCCCGTCTTCATTAGCCCAGGTTAGAAGCAGAACAGTAGGACGTGAAACCCCATTTCATTTCATTTCAAATCATAAAATTATTTCTTTCACCTAAATGTCCTAATCAGCAACATGTCAATGTCTCTTTAAATGAGATATTTGTCTCACTAAATATTATGTTTGTATTTTTATGTGTTTTTTTGTTGAAGACGTAAAAGATTTCATTGATAAAATCATTCATATCAAATATTAATCTTTTTATTCAATATTGACTTAACTTATGATTTAAGTTTTTTATGTTTAATCTCTTGAATAAATAAAAACAGGTTATAAAATTCAATATCTATTTCACAACCCAGGTTCATGAGATAGAGAGAGGGGGGAAGAGAGATTATCTGAGAGAGATTATCTGAGAGAGAGAGAGAGAGAGAGATTAATGACAATCAACACAAACTAGGTAATTTTGGGACTAACATATGGTTCAATTTGTTTTTAAATAGTTCCCTAGCACAATGTTCAAAGGGAAAGTTTCTTATTCTTCATACTAATTTCTAACAAGAAATTGGGGATCACGTGGCTAAGTGGCTAAGATGCTAGCTCGCTAGCCTGGAGGTCGGGTGTTCGATCCCTGCATTGGCCGAGAAAGTTCATCCAGATTTTCCGGCGTGGTTATCCCTTGTCAGTGATGCAGGACGGAGGGGCTGACAAGGAAAGCTGTCTAGTCGTTCGGATGGGACGAAAAACCGAGGTCCCGTGTACACATTGGCGTGCACGTAAAAGATCCCTTGGCAGTTGGAATTCGATATAAGAGTAGGCCGTAGTGCCGCTGTCCGGTGGGTAAACAAATTCACACAGGAATTTGTCCTTCTGGGGGCCTCAACGCTCCAGTAGCCTACTAAATCTTAATTCTGGGTTTTAATTTATAATTTGTTATGAAGCATAGTTCTATTTTTATTCAAGTATTTTGTGACTTTGTTATAATATATAGGGTAGATACATTTTTTAAATATAGTATGGTAAAATTATTTTTTGGGTGGGCGACACTGAACACTTGACATTGGACTGTCAGCCTTCTCCGTAGAGCGGAGCGAAACCACTAAAGCAAATAGGCTCAAGAATTAACAAAATTACCTCTTGTCGCTATTTACTAGCCATTTGCTATCTTTCCTGTATGTAATCAGTATTTTTCAAGTGTTTCGCGCATGTTTGATCAGAAGCCATGCTATTATATAATCGTGTGTCTGATAAAACCTGTGACACGTGCTGGCATTTTATAGTTAACCATCCGAGGATACAAAAGTTATTTTAAGAATTTACTTTTTTTTTTTATCAAAACTACAAGAATTTATACAATTTGGGTCAAGAGAGAGAAAAACAATAAAATGCAAACGAACCATGTTTTGTCTGGCATAATTAGGTAATTTACTTGATACGGAAATACTTATTTGAAACTAGGGAAATGGTGTCGAATATTTTGAAAAGTATCATGAAGGCTGCTAATGGACTCTCGGTTAATGGATCCAGAATAGTAGGATGGTTAGTGCTAAATGATAAGGCCAGCTCAATTTTTGTGATTGGTCACAAAGTTTAAACAGGGCTAGCGCTACCGGTATGCCCAACCCTAACTCTAACCCTGGACTTAGCCCCAATGCTTACCCTAACCCTAACCTACAATCTCGCCAACAATCATGTGCCCTAACTTTATTTACATCTCAGCGACCTTGGCAAAATTTGAGCTGGCCTTAACAAATAGATTTAGCCATAGTAGGATGTCAAACCACATTTTATTTCAGTTAATGGACATTACTTGAGATTCAGCTAAATTTTTCAAGTTCTCTTGAGCGACTTAAGTTTAATTAGGATTAATGGTAAAATTCATTATAAAGAAAACCACATGCTTGAATGAGAAAGGCAAATGAATAGCCTTCAATCTTAACTAAACACAAGCACACTCAATAGACCACCATTTTCATCAAATTTTCGTTGTTAATAATAAATTTATAGTTCTCAGCTGTACTTTAACTTCAGGTTGGCATGTATATAAAAGAATCCTTGGCAGTTAAAATTCAATGAAAAGTAGGCAGATACGCCTGTTATCCAGTAGCGCTGGGTATTATGACCAGGTAGCAGAGGAAGATTATAGATTGTGAATAGTTGACCACAGGCAGGCAGCATGACAGACTGAAGGGCAGGTCTCTGATAAGTTATTTCTTAGATGCTGTTCCTTATTAAGTTCCCTAACCTGTGGGTCATTATTGTAAATATATTATTATTGTTTAAATATTGTTACAGAATATAAGATTATACCAAGAAGTGAACTGTTGAATTATTGTATGTTCAATCTTACACCCCCAACTAGATTGAACATACAACCCATCATCGAATGTTGGACTATAAGCAGGTCCATAAAGGGTGGCCGAATGGTTAGCATGTGCGAGTTGTATCATTAGGTCTGTCATTGAGTCATCTGGCGTGGCATGATTCCCCGGTTGTACATGACAAGGAGTAGGGTTGCCTGTCGAACCTCGTAGGTTTCTTCCAGGTCCTCCGGTTCCCTCCCACTACTAAAGACCCTTTGTAATAAAATTGAACCATATGTTAGTCCCAAAGTGACCTAGTTTGTGCTGACTGGACGTTAAACCCCATTTCTCTCTCTCTCTCTCCCTTTTTTTTAAACTTAAGCCCAATCTACTTCAAGATGCAGTGTCATTTTGAGTCATCTGTAATTCACGGGACAACAACTTTCCTAATAATACAACAGATAAGTAGATCAAAGTAAAAAAAAAAGGTTGAAACAAAACAGAACAATTAGCATTTAACTAAGCTACAGTCTAACAGACTATTTCTACTCGTAACCTGACCTATTTAGCTATGCGAGGTCATGAGGTTATGTATAAAGACTTGATTAATTGGTCGTTAAGATGTAGATTCTGTAGAATTGACCAAATCAACGCAGACAGACGTGAGAATGAAGAACAATGGCTGATCAAAGAGACTTAGGCTACCACAACAAAGATTACAGATGACTTTGTTCAACTTAAACATATAAATCATCTGATCTTATAAATTCTTCCGACAACTGGACCATGTCTTGTCATCCAAATAAACGATTAAACTCAATGGAGGATAATTTTGTTCGTGTAACTAGGTTAAAGATCTTACAACAGTTACAATGCAGTTTTCTCCAGATTTCAGTATCAGAAAAATATTTGTTTTTTTCAAAGGGGCATTATGGGAGATTAAATAAAAAGTTGACAGTTCTCGCTATAGTTAGAAAATACACAACGTAAATAGAATATGCTGAAAATTTCAGTCAAATTGCTCCACTCTGAATCGAGATATTAGCTTTTGAACTTTAGGCTGGCCTCGATCATTTCTAAATTCAGTACGATAAAAAAACAAAATCTTGATCATCCATTTTTACGTTTAATTATTTTTCAAAAAATGTATTCTAATCCGCTAAGTATTGCAGGCTAGCAAGGGTATCGAGAGTTGATTATGATCTGGATAAGTTAATTAATGTCTAATTAATAATTTAGATAACAGTTCAGACATAAAGAAAGACCTGCAATAGGCAGATTTAGCTCTTGCGTATTGTATGTTTAAGTTTTTGAATTAGTGCATTTTTTCACAAACCGGTAGGCTAAATATTAATGCGTCTCAAATTTCAGTTCAAACTGGTTTAAGTAGGGTAGATCTGTGACCAGTGTAAATCTTCATTTATCCCATTATTGTAAATCTACCTACAAGTAGTTGGTATTGGGAATCGGAAGGATAGTGCATGCTAAATTTAATACAACATGAAAATTAATCAAAGATTTGGTCTTACCTTGAAGAAAATTGAGGGGAGCACAAGATATCCGACAATTCGGCATGGCTTCTTTTATTTTCTGGGCTTCCTGTGGATGATTGAAGCGAAAATAGTTGGAACGTCCCAGAGTTACCATCGAGCCTGAAAAATACAAAGGAACATCAGTTTAAGTAGAATTAAAGGCATTTTTTTTGATAAACATGGCACCCTTTTGTATGCAAGATCTTTCTGATGTCTGTGTTTGGCTTAATAGGGAGTGAATATTTAAGTTAGTGCAGGGCCTATATTAAAACAAGGTTAATAACTCAGGCAGTTATTATCAGAAATCACTAAAAATCAATAGGCTTCTGCATCTCAATAATGTTAACAAGGTATGACAATTTGAAAAATATCAAAGAAGGGATGACAGCAACATACGACCACATGTCAATGTGGGCATATAAAAAGCATTATAGTACTATATTAATAGGGCAAGTATATAGGATCTCTGAATTAGAACTGCTAGCTTGCAAACATTTATCAAAGGGGCACCAGGAAATTTGGAGACAGCTAAATGTAGTACTCATAGCATATATACTACTTTTAGAATTACATGTACTGTAAATTAAATCATGGGTATAGCAATAGGGCTGGCAGAGAATATCGATATTGCTGATAACCATCGGTAAAGTGATTTGAAGATTGATACAGATTTAAAATATTGATAATTGCGCAATTATAGGTAATCACTTATAAGATGAAATCCATAAAAGATAAAGAGATAATCTGTATCACAGTATTCTTTACATCGCGTGCTTACACCTTCATGTAGCTCGATAAATAATTAAACAGTCATTAAACACATACACACTTTTTGATATTACAGCATAAACTCACTTATAATTCGTAATTCATATACAAATTATGAATGTTTTCAAAACATGTGTAAGTAAAAATACTTTGCCGATATTATCGATTATTGATCGGCGGTTGGTCGACGATTATCGATACATGAAACCAGTATCAATTGGCAGCCCTGCATAGTAAGAATTTCCACCAGGAGACTGTTTCAAATGTTGTTTTTTTTTCTCACCTGGATTAATCATGAAACCAATTATATCCAAATTTAATTTATTTTCTGACATGGTTTCCCCTTGTCAGAGGTGCAGGACGAAGGGCCTGACAAGGACAGCTGTCTAGTCATTCGGATGGGACAAAAAAAATCTGAGTTGCTGTGTATACATTGGCATGCACGTAAAAGATCCCTTGGCAGTTGGAAATGGATATCAGAGTAGACCATAGTGCCCGGGCAAAATTTCTCTCATATGCCCATCTTCATTAGCTCAATTGGAGCAGAACAGTAGGAGGTTAAACCCCATTTCATTTCCAAATTAATTTCTGTTTGTGTCAAATTGAATCAGAATGACACAGAATTCACCATATAGTTTCCTATTTCTGATGGAGTGGGAGACTGGACAATTGATTGTTTGTTTATTTACAGTAGATACAAGTTGATCTACTTTAAACAGTAGCCAATGTACATAAATATATACAGTAATTTGACCTGTCAATCAGAGCTGTTTATATTGTAATAAGACACCAGGAGTTATCTCCCTTCAATATGTCTAGTCTATCAGGTGCCCTTATCTTTACACATGACAATAAATTTATAAACACTGTAATTAATGTCAAATTACCATCTTTTAAAATTGGAAATGAATGATATATATATCTTTATATATCAAACCATAAAAATATGATATCTTTGAGGTCAAAAGGTCATTCAAAATACACACAAATCTTAAAATATTGAATAAGCATGTCTATGAAAAAAAATAGGATGGAATTTAAGGAATTTTACTTCGGTCAACAATATTTTGGACATTGTGAGACAAATAAATTGGGTAATTTGTTATTTCTATGGTACATGGGCAATACCATTTCTGAGAATTTTTCCTGAGCAGCGGTATTGCTGCCTACTCTTCAACGAATTTCGATTGTCAAGGATTGTTCGACAAGGATGTCACTGTATACAGAAATGACTTGTTTCTATGCAATAATCTGCCATTCTGCCTTTTTTATTTATCCGTCTCCAAAACATCCATAGTTAATCCAATAATATAAGTTTTCACTCTTTTAAAGATACATTATGGGGGATTAGATAAAGAGCTGGCAGTTCTCACTATAATAATTAAAAACTAGATAATGTAAAGGGAATTTGCTGAAAATTGCAGTCAAATTGTTCCACTCTGAACCGAGAATTTAGTGATTGAATTTTGGGCCTAGCCTCGATCATCATTACTAAAGTCGGCAAGATAAAAAAGATAGTCTCAATTATCCATTTTTTTATTTAATCATGAATGAGTGTTAAGCAGCAAATCAGATCCTAATCCAGTAAACATTGCAGGCTAGCAATGACATCGAGAGTTGATTATGGTCTGGATAAGTTAATTAATGTCTAATTAATAATTTAGATAACATTTCAGTCCTAAAGAAAGACCTGCAATTGGCAGATTTAGCTCTTCTTGCATAATGAATGTTTAATAAAACATAATAGGCCACAAAAAATTAAACCACAATTATGTGTAATCTAACCAATATGTGTTGGATAGGATCAAATAGGGGGATAATTTATTTATTTATTAATCTTGAAAATAATTCTCATTGACATGTTTATAGACCTTAACTATTCAATTAGTTCTCCCTAATAACCACCAGAGCAAATAAACTGCACATCAAAGAGGTGTAAATCTGCTACAGTTCAACTAGTTTATGTTTCACTGGATTATAATTCTGGTTAAAGGTGTTATGCTCATTCTCAAAACCAATTCAAGATTTTCTTGACAAGATCAAACTTTAGCAGCAATATCATGCAAGTTTAATTGCTTAAAGGAATATCAAATGAAAAATTCTTCATATCCATTCAGTTTTAAAAAGATATGATTAACTGAAAATTTTACACATTCTGAATCCTCTTTTGAATGGCCTGTTTTTAATCCGACTGAACCTAATACGTTAATGTTTTGAGAGGGGTTACTGAATTAAATGTTAAATAGTAAATTTAATTTCAATAAAGCAATAAAAAACTAGATATCGTCCGAGAATACAATCGTCCATGACAATCAGCAGCTTTGAAGATGCATTATATAAGATTTAGATAAAGAGCTGACAGTTCCCGATAAAATAGTTCAATGTGTTTTAAATATTTGATATCAGGAGCCCATATTTTCATGGTAAGATAACAACATCACCTTTGACTGGAATGGACCAATGGACCAATAATTCGTGTTTTTAAAGTCGAAGACTGTAGATGATACTGAGTTAGGAGTTTTATGCCTTTTAAGAAAATGAAATGAAAATGAAATGAAAATGAAAATGAGATTTAACATCCTACTGTTCTGTGCTCCGACTGGACTAATGAAGATGGGCATATGCCATACAGTTTGCTATGAGGGAAATTTTGTCCGGACAGTGGCACTGTGGCCTACTCTTATATCGCATTCCAACTGCCAAGAGATCTTTTATGTGCACGCCAATGTATACATGGGACCACGTCGGAAAATCCTGATGAACTTTCTCAGCCAATGGAGGGATCAAACACCCGATCTCCAGGCTAACAAGCCAGCGTCTTACCCACTTAGCCACCGTGGCTCCCTTTAAGAAGGTGACAAGACCAGTATCAATATTTAAATATAAAATAACACTCAATCTAGAAACCAATAGCAAACATGTTGATATGCCTTAGCTGAAATCTGCACTGATTTGACCTATGACCCCATGTACAGTGTTTATTGTAAAATATAAACTGCCCCCTGGCACATAAACACAACAAACAACCCCCTAAGGTCTCAGCCTTTCCATCTGATATTCATCAACACCAACCCAACTACTGACTGACTGACCACCATGTCCATCTTTCATCAATCAGGAGATAAATGACTTTAGCATGTTGCTGACCAGTCCACTGATTGCCAATCAACAGACCCCCCTCACTGGTCAGTTGTCTCATAAAACTAATTCAATTAAAATGTCATTTGATGAGCAGAAAAAGAAACATAATTCCTGGTTCCTGCAACCAGCTATATCCTGCCACTGGTTTCTACTTGGCATTCCAGACAACGCTAATTACCAGTTAGACCCCAACAGAATAGAGAGAGGTAGGAGGGAACAAATGGGATTTAACGCCTACCCAACAAAATCTAAGTCATTCTGGGACTAACACATACAATTGTATTTCAATAATTCGCATGTGCATAGGTATTTTTAGCTGTGGGATGAAACAAGAGGACCTGGAGAAAAGCCATAAAGTTTGACACACAACCCTAATCCTTGTCACGTACAAGCTTGAGATCAAAACCATGCCACTTGACTCAATAAAATACCTTATGATCTAAAACATGAACAATACACACCCCTCAACACAAACTAGGTCATTTCGGGACTAATATATGGTTCAATTTTATTTCAATAATTCGCTTGCGCATAGGGGTCTTTAGCAGTGGGAGGAAACTGGAGAAAACCCAAGAAGTTGGACAGGCGACCCTACTCCTTGTCACGTAAACCTGGGGGAATCGAAACCACACCAGTTGACTTGAACACTGACCTTATGATACAATGCGCATGCGCTAACCATTTGGCCATCCATCCACCCATTTTAAGAAAACAAGATCAAAATTCAATCAGATTTAAAAGGAGCCAATCCAACTGAAATCTATAGGTGGCACTGGCTTGTTTATATCCTTTACAGAGGATGTCAAATATTGCATAATCAATCATATCTTTGTAAATACTGAATGGAATTGATCCATTGCTTCTAGAGATTCAATTCTCATGACAATGTAGTTTGCAAGCGACTCAAAATCTTTCACATGAGGATAAGTGTCTTTCAGAATTACCTATCTTTATTACACCAGTCGTGGAGCAGAACAGTAGGACGTTAAACTCCATTTCATTTCATTTCTTTCCGAATTGGTCCGAGAGAAGTTTTATGTTTTGTATTTATCAGTGTCTATTAGGGAATGAAGTAGGGGGGAATATTAACTAGAGTATCACTATAACTAAAACAACATGTATATTTAACCAAATAAATAAACATGTATAATATACTATGATATATACTTTATAAACAAACAGCATGCTGTACTATAAGATGATATACTTTA